TATAGATTACCCTATTAGATAGGGTGTTCTGATAGAATCCATACTCTATCTAATCACTTAGAACAAAATTTTACATGTTAAAACGAAATATAACAACTTATATGTATAGAAAATTGCCATAATACTTTTGATTTAGAAAAAAAAATTCTTTGGAAGTGTGTGAATTTGAAAATAAATGAGCATAAAATCTTGAACTTATAGGAAAAAACTCATCTACCATTTGTGACATTGCAACAATGTGAAAAAACGTAAAATAATGTTTAAGCATTTCGTCTAAAACACTATACACCTAGATTCTTAGAAAAGAAATATACCAAGTCAAAGTGGAATATAACAACTTAAAATATATGTACAAACTACCACAAATTGAGTTTAAAAATAGGTTGATGTAGTTTTTTTGACTCTAATAGTGATTTTTGAGGTGTGTAGTTTAAAAACTAGATAGATTTGTAGGGATTTTTAGATCTCGTAAAAAACCAAACCACCAAACGCAGCAAATAGAATCACACAAGATTTAACGTGAAAAACCCTCAATAGGGAAAAACCACGGGATTAAAATTAATCCACTATTATCACCAAATTATAATCTTTTACACGGACAAAGACTGCCAAACTCTCTCTCTCTCTTTCTCTCTACACTTCTTAATTTTTTTCTCTCCAACAATAGAAGAAGGGAAACCAAAACCCTATCTCTAGCCTAACTTCCTAATTATAATAAGATTCAAACTCCTAATCATGATAAAATCCAAACTCCTAATCATGATAGATCCCTAACCCTATCTAATTCACATGAAGTTATACAAAGAATTAAAAATACTATACTAAATTGGAGTTTGAGTTGATACCCAACATATCCTCCCTCGACGAAAAATCTCTACGTGTCTCAACGACTTTAGAAAAACTCATTATCTTCATATTGTTCTTCACCTCTCCCTCGTGGACAAGAGTCTGAGAAGAGCAATCTACACTATTAACGGATCGTCCATCTAAATAGCAAATATGGTTGCTATTCTTCCTCCCTTGCAAAATAAAATCACTATCTCTATACACTTTGCACCATTCTCCTTCACTCATATACTTGTACCCACGTGATGCTATCTCACCCAATGAAATTAAATTAGCATCACATGATGACACATATCTCACATGATAAAGAATTTTGATCTTCCCAGTGTGAAGCTTGAGGCGAACACTTCCAATACCTTCAACCTTCATCTTCTTGTTGTTTCCAACAATCATGTCGTCAAATTTTTCATCTGTCTTTAATATGTTAAAATAATTTTTGTTGTTACAGATGTGTATAGAGGCTGTAGAATCTAACACCCAAGTATTACTTGCATCAGTACATGTACTCTGTACCAATAACACCACATCTTCATCACACACAGCCACCGAGGAGTCCGGCTTCTTTCCATTTTTTTGAAGCTTCATATATCTAATACTTTTCAAATCATCATGCGTCTGGGAACATCTAAATTGAATGTGACCCTTCTCTCCGTAATAATAGCACTCCCTTTCACTATCGTCTCGGGCCCAAGATTTTGACCTTCATCGATAAATGTCACATCTCTCCTTACTCCTCTCTTGATTAGATCCTTCAAAAGCTAGTGCACTATCACCACCATTAGATACACTCTCTTTTCCATCATTTTTTCATTCTCACATAGGTGTACTATCACAGTGTTGTCACATCGTCGAACTTTAAAGTCTGCTTCCCTACAATTATCGTCTGAACTAACGGCTTGTACGATTTCGGTAAGGAAGACAATAGGAGTAACGTCTGCTCTTCTTCTTTAATCTCCTCATCAATATTCATAAATTGGCAAACTAGCTGATTAAAGGCATTGATATGGTCTTGAATTGTAGTACCTTCTTCCATCATCAACGAATAAAACTCTATCCTCAAGCACAATCGGTTGGTCATCGACTTTGATGCATAAATCCCCTCGAGCCTTTCCTATAGCCCCCTTGGTGTGGTCCCTTGTATATCATTGTACTTGACTTTGGGGGCGAGTGCCAAACGAATTGTGGTAACCGTCCTCTTTTGCATAGAACTCCATTCAGCATCATTCAATCCTTCAGGTTTCTTCTCCTTTAAAGCTTGATCAACACCCTGCCGCACAAGAATATCTTGAACCGTGCACTGTCATACTGCAAAATTTATCTTACCATTGAATAGCGGAATATCAAACTTCAGACCCGAAGATGTCATCATCGTCTAACCACAATCAAAATTCAAATAAGTCACTGTGGAGATTAAATTTGATAAAACCGACGTCAAAACAAACTCAACACGTCGAAAAACCCTATGAACGACTCCTGGATCACCAAAATCTACCTCCAAATCCTTGATCAAAGATAAATCAACCTCAATCGTCGGATCTGCGTGAACAGTATCCCCGGCTACAACATTCGACTACTTGCTACAGTATGACACCACTACAGTGCCGCGGCCACCGATGCCCTTGCAAATTGCAATGTTCGAATCTCCACGAACTGTCTAACCACGCTCTGATACCACTTGTAGGGATTTTTAGATCTCGTAAAAAAACCCGAAAAACTACCAAACGTAGCAAATAGAATCACACAAGATTTAACGTGGAAAACCCTCAATAGGAAAAACCACGAGATTAAAATCAATCCACTATTACCTCCAAATTACAATCTTTTGTACGAACAAAGATTGTCAAATCTCCTCTCTCTCTCTCTCTCTCTACACTTCTTAGTTTTTTTCCCTCCAACAATAGAAGAATATATATGGGGAAACTAAATCTTTATCTCTAGTCTAACTTCCTAATTAATGACAATAAGATTCAAACTCCTAATCATGATAAAATCCAAACTCCTAATCATGATAGATCTCTAATCCTATCTAATTCTCATGAAGTTGTACAAAGAATTAAAAACACTATACTAACTTGGAGTTTGAGTTGATATCCAACAAGATCTAGTACTTTAGATTTATAATAAAAAAATTCTTGTAATGGGTAGGTTTGAAAATAAATAAGGATAAGATTTATAGCTAAATAATCAATTTACTGTTGCAACTTATGATATAACAATCATTAGAGAATTTTAGGTCAAAAACTGATAATGAAGCGAGTGAATCTAAAAACAAATTAGGGAATTTTGGGTTTATAGCAAAAAAGAGTCTTTATATGGTCGTTCATTATATTATTATAATTATATTATTATTATAGTATATTATTAGAGTTGATGGAGTATTTTAGATTTATGATTAATTTTTCAAGTGAGTTGGCTTAAAGTAAATTAATTGGGTTAGCTTATTGAGTTCATAGATAAATTTTATTTATTTATTATTATTTTTAACTACATTAAACTGATATTGTGGAGTTGAGAAAAGTTTCAAATCCGTGGAACACTATCTTCTTGAGAAGGATTTGTGAAGTGGTAGACTCGTAAGCAAGTTGGGTAGAACATTGTGTTTGTAAACAAAAAATACTTGTTGTCTCTTTTAGCTATTGGGTTGTACTGTAGAATGAATAGAGCCAATATACGGTACTAACCCCAATAGGTTTAGGGGGTGTTTGGTTACATTTCTATAAATTATAGGAAATGTTTTTCATCCAAAATTTGATTTCCTTGTATTTCTTAAAAAAATTATAGGAAAAGTTTTGAGAAGTTAAAAAGTACAAATTTTCTTATTTTTTGTATTGTGCTTGTTTGGTTCAAAACAAGAAAATGACTCATAACTTTTGGGAAAATAGCAACATTTCCTATAATTTATAGAAATGTAACCAAACACCATCAATTTTATAGAAAAGTGAGAACTTTATAGAAAAGTGTTAATGAGTTTTATTATTTAAATAATGAATGCGTCAGATTTCCAAGAGATTTCCGCCCATTTTAGAAGGAAATAAATTTTTATAAATTTTGGTACTTTTCTATACTTTACGGAAAATATTTCTGTAAACCTTTTTTGAGCCAAACACAGTTTGTGGAAATCTATAGAAAACTCTTAATTACAGAAATACCATTGTTTGTACTTTTTAAGAAAACATTTTTCAAAAACAATGCAACCAAACACCCCCTTAGCATACATCTACATAAATAAAATGTAGTTTTGCTCCATTTTTATCTTTCCCAAGGATGGGATGGGCACCGGCAGCTGGCGCCTGGCGTGGGGACTGGGGATGGGCGATTTGGTAGACTGGCATGGTGCAGAGCCCTTGATTGATGTGTGTTATGAGGGCAAAATTGTACTTCTTCGAGAATTTACGCAAAACTTTCAGCTGCTACGCGAAAACAAGAGCTGTTGGCTCTGTTATTATGTTAGACTTCACCTTAATTTAATTTTGGACAAAATATCTAACTCACCTTTAAAGTATGGATGAATTCTTAACTTTCCCGCTAAAATATAAACTTATCTATTCTACCCTTTAAACTATTCAATATAGTCATCAACAGTGAGCTTATGGTCAACTATTGAATTATCTATTGCCGAAAAAATTTGACAGTCAAATATTTAATAAGTTAATGACACGACGGCGTTACTTTGCATTTCCTTATGGGTTTCATCAGGCTGTCCGTTTTTCTTCCAAATCAAAAAAATTTCTTAACTGTCCTTTTTTAAAATTAAAAAACATTCTTAATTAGTTGCAATAAACACAAGAAATGCAAAAAATATTACCACGTCATTAATCTTATAAATATTTAAGTGGGAACTCACAAAATAACTACATAAAGCACTTGCACTAATTTGAGAGCCAAAATAAACAAATTGATCTTTACGGGAGAACTTGAGCACCGTTCACGAGTACTTTAAGAGGGTTCTGATCAATTTGTCCTTTTATTTTTCGTGATGGTTGATCTTGTTACATTAGAAAATCTCTATACTGATTTATTTTCGCGGAGTAGTCATCTTCTTCAAAATGATAGAACTGGGTTTTTGTTTTCCCCTCATTGAGTGTATAACAAAAATTTCATGGTTGACTGCAATTCCCATATATAGACTGAATGTATCATCAAGTCCAAAATCATCATCAAACCCAAAGTTTATCAACACCCATACATATATATTCTAGACTACTATGAAAACAGAGAACACATGCAAATTGATGCTTTTCATCTCTGAAACTGATCTCCTCTCCACCATTACATCAACCTAATTATTGTCAGCAGCTTCAGTATAATCCATATTTAGTCAGGACATCCACCAGTTCCTTTCTTGATGGAGGCTGCATATATATGCACATATCAACAACACGCACACTTAAGTTTACAGCATGTCAAGCAATAGAAACAAATAAAGTTAAATATTTTACCTATTAAAAAAAATTAAAAAAAAACTTTACCTTGCTCTGGAGGAACTCATCAGCTCCTGCCTGTAAGAAAACGTCTCTGTTGGACTGAGAATCATCCGCTGACAGCACTATAATTGGCGTCTCAACTCCCATCGACCTGAGCTGCCTCGTCGCCTGCAACGTTAATCAAGAAGAAGAAGAAGAAGAGGAAGAAATATATTTAGTACTAAGTTCAGTTCTAAACTGAGTAAAAGTGAAAATTATTTTCTCACCTCATGCCCATTCATGATGGGCATGTCCCTGTCCATGAGAACAACATCAGCTTTCTTGCCTCCCACGAAATAATCAACAGCCTTCTGCCCATCCTCAGCCTCCTCCATCTCCAATCCTAGACTCTTCACCATCATCCTCATCACCATCTGCACCCAGAGATCAATGCACGCATATAAGCACGTACATACATATATACTCAATAGTTAAGCTACAATGCGACATTACCCTATTAATCTTCACATCTTCAACCAATAGGATCTTGATACTCTTGCTAGAAGCATTCATTGTTAATGGGAGTAAATTTGAAAGAAAACAAGGTTGAAACAAGAGAGGATGGAGCAAAGAATTGAACGAATGAGAGAGAGAGAGAGATATAATGAGAGAGATACCCCAGTGAGAGTTGAGGAATTGCAGGTGAGCTCAACTGTTTTGTTTGGTGGAAAAACATGCTCAGGTGGTTGATGGAGCTGATCTCAGGGTATCATAGAGTAAATTCTTTTCATTTAATGTGAAGCCTAGTATAGAACTGTACCTGCGAATTTATATATGTAGTTAATGAGAGAAAGAGAACCACATTTTTTGCTGATTTTAAACAAAACATTTTGAATATTGGTTGCGCTTAGACGTAAGTTTTTTTTTTAAAACTCTGGTCTCATGTTAATAACAGTTTTTTTCACTAATGATTCGCATGCATTTCTTCTAGCCACTTGATAATTCATGGCTTCATATATGAAAACTTTTCCCATGCGAACTTGTCTGATGACATTTCAGATTAAAAAACTATTCTATTTCTATATTGATTAACAAAACTTAGGGAAAACCATGAGCTTAAATTGGCTTATTGTCACTAATAGCTTTACCTACTTTGTAGACCAAGACAATTACTAAAATGATCATTCATTAAAGTGTAGTAAGTTTTTCAAGGAAAAGTGAGCTAGATTGAAGAGTGTAGGACGTAAATGTGGTACTAAATAAAGAATGAAGAATAAAGGACTTACAATATATCTCTTGCCTCCCTCATCTTTGAAGAAACTAAAGAGGAGACAACCATGTGATCTTGCTCTTTGCTCTCTTGCGTCTCTTATCCTCATACCTTCAACTCTATTACCATCTGAATCTCAAAAGGCAAAGAGACGACTCATGGCTACTATAACAAGTAGAGCAATGTACTAAGAAGTTCAAAAGTTTTGTTGCTAGTTTAAATTCAATGTTGCATGCATTTGGTTAAAAAATGGGACCAAATCCTTGCCAAATCCTATGAAGATCCTTACAAAATCCCTAAAGGATACTTTACTCCCTTTGGTGAAAATGAATTGGAGGAGACTATGTCGTGTGTGATGCGTGTTTTGCGTATCAGTATAAATTTATATTTCATATATTGCTCAATAGTTACTTGTCGTGAGTGATCTTCACATGTAAAGTAAAGTAGTACGTACATTGCCCAAAATTTAATGCAATTTCATATTGTCAAATATGAATTTGAATATAGATATACATATATTAATCCCCGAAAAAAAAGCATATGAATTAAAAAGTAGAACAATATAAAGACAAATCTGGACACTTGTGTTGAGATTGAAGTACTGAATTTATTTTTTCAGTCAATATAAAATTGACTTTTGTGCTACTTTTAATCTAAGTTTTGCATGTGTTTAACATATTGGTAAACTTTAATTGGAGATATTGTGTTGTATTCAGATGGTCTATATATCCCTTGACATGTGTACTTTTGTCATACTCATTTCTCTCATATTTAGTACGTGTGTCTTATTAGTCTTCAAAAAATAAGCATACTCACAGCTACATTTGTGTTAGTGTTTAGAAAATGGATATTGTAAATGTCATCCTATTAATTTCTATCCATATTGTTTGCACCCTTAGCTACTGCCTAGTATCATTATAAATCCCATTTAATTTCCTTGTATTTTTATCTAAAGCACCAGAATATTTAATTTGTCTTAGCTAAATTAATCATGTAAATTAGTTTTTCGAAACATGAAATTTATTGGTGAAAAGATGAAAGTTTACGGTGAATAACGCCTAACAACTATGGTTTTTCGTCATATCTGACCTCCGAATCTCTGTGAATTTTATGTTAGACCCTCAAATCTTCATATTTGTTTGCGGTGCAGTGTCTTATGTAAAATGATTTAATAGATACGGAGGGTCTGATTTAATGCTTAGAGTTAACAAAAAAGTTTGGAAATCAAGGGGGAAGAGCCAAATGGAAATTAAACAAGTGTCAAATCTCTTGACCACTCATAATGTGACACCTGTTCATTGGACAGGAGTAATAAACCTTGAGTTAACGGTGTACCGTACAGAAGACAAGGATCTCAGTGTACGTAATCGTGTCGGGCTCAGGTTCCTCCCACCCTGGCCCCCCACATTTAGATCCGGGTTCGCTGCTTGTACGGCTGACACGTCTCCTTTTTGGATGGTCTAGATTTTGGGTTTTGGTGTATTTATTTGTATCTGAACTTGCATAAATTCCTTTCGAGACCTTGGATAATGAACAAACGGTGTCAGGGCCCAGTCATGTACGCCTAGCCTTGTATTCATTTAAAACTAGGGTTATTTAGATGTTAGTCCCTCTACGTTTTCAGCAGTTATATAATAGCCCCTCAAATCTTGGAAATTGCTCATTGCTCCGTCAAGCCTCAAATCTTAGGGGTCATGCAATTTGATCCCTCAATGACCGAAATTAATACCGTCATTTTTATCTTCTCCGACATGAATCCTCTAAAGCCAATCCCCATTGTAGCTCCTTACTCACCCGCACCAGACTGCTCCCTCGTCGCCAATGTCCTCCCTTTATAATCTCCTTTTCACACTTTGCCTAAGATTCAAGAGAGCTCTTCTCCTATCCGCAACACTAAATTGTATTGGCAATATGGAGTGAGGGTTATCTGACAGGCGAACAAAGATTAAAAAAAAAAACTATGGTGTAGTTAAGGCAGTCGTCTTGGTCTTGGTCGAAGATTAGATTTAATGATAGGTTCAAGCTCCATATCTTACTCAAAGAGTACTTTGGAAAGGTTAATGGATTAAAGAGTATGGGGAATAAAGAGTATGAGGGACTAATATGCAACAAGTAACAAGAGGAATTGGTCGGTGGCAGGGTGGGTAGTGGGGCAGCATCATATGTTGTGCTTATGAGGGTTTGGGTTGGAGAAGAAAGAGACGGGAGTATTTTAGTCATTGTGGGACAAAATTGCAAGGCCCTTCAGATTTGTGGGACTAATGAGCAATTTCTAAGATTTGAGGGACTAATATGCAATTATTGAAAAGTTTATTAAGGTATGAATATCTAAATGACCCATGAAACTAGAGTTCCGTTAGCACATTAGGGTTTAATTCTGTGAAAACAGAAAAGAAAAACATACTTAAGTTATCATGTTGTAAATATATAGGTGAAATGAGAGTTTGGATTACGAAAAAGGTGAATACAGATAATTTCTCTGTTCTGTACTTTCAATAGCACTTGTCATCTCCAACTAGTTTAGTAAATACCTCCGAGTTTGCATTTTGAAAAGGATAATTTGCAAGAAACCCACACTCACATATGATTTGAAGGGTGCTATGAGCTAGTAAGTGCTATTGATGATATAGATAAAAGAGTTGTATGCAATTTACCCTTGCCAAAAAATCTAGATTAAACTGTTAAAACCAATAATATAAGAAAGTAAAAGTTACCCCTGAGGTTTTGGTAGGTCCAGTACTACCTCGTGCAGATTCATTTGTAACAGATTCAACTTGAGACTGATACAAGTGTAAGTTTCCAGCACTTATTTTCAAAGTACTGCTCAATAGTTAAGAACTACTGTCATGTACATAATTATATTCACATCAGAAACTCAGACTGAAAACCAAAACAGAGACTTCCACTTGTCTTTCTAAATCTTCAAGCCCCAGCTAAATTTAAGCATATGGGCACTGAGATTGGTTCTTTCTCTTTCCATCATAAATCCAGTTACCCAATCAACTACTCATATTTGCTTTCTGAAAAGAAAAGTTCTATCATCATTAGGCAGTTAATATTCAGCGTTAACTGCTTTTGCGCTAATCATTCCGACCTGCATTATCGGTTCTCTACTTGGGTTCAGCGAGCCTCAATGCACATCTCTTTCAGAAGGGCTGAAGCTTATGATGAATGGTGTTGGTTTCGGGTATAGACCCAAACCTTAGAACAAGCATGCAAAGCAAAGATTTCTCTCAGTTAAGAAATCAGGCGAACTTGAAAGTTTAGGCGAACTTGGAAGTTCAGGCAAAGCTCGAAGCTGAGTTCAGGCGGACAGTGGCGTAGCCACATGGTACTTGCCCTGGGCAGCTGCCCAGGGCAAGAAAAATTGTGTTCTTGGGGGAGGGGGATACTACAAAAAGCTAAGCTAAAAAAAAAGAGAAAAAAATAGTAAAGGACGTGCTAGTGAACTATAGAAAGCGAGATTGCAATCCTTTCTACTTCTATTTTGTCATTACATAAGTTAGACAAGCCACGTTTTGGATTTTTTGTTTCATAAACTAGTAGTTTTATTCATCATATGCTACTTTATTCATATGCATCAAGTGAGTGAGCATTGCCACACGCATCACTAGAATATGTCACATGTTACTTACATTATTTCAATTTTTAACTTCACTAATTGTGAGATTTCCATACTCTTTAAATAATTATATTCTAGATATAGTTTCATGCTCCACCTAGGACAACAAAGTGAAATCGGGGAGCCCCGTCGTCGACTTCTGGAGGCCCGTCGTCGACTCCGATGAGAAGAGCCCCTCGACGGTCACGGCCGAGCTCGAGGAGCTTCTCCTTGCTTCCCCGCTCAAAGCTAGGTTTTGTGCCGACTTCGACGACGGAGGAGCAGGAGGATGAGACATCTCCTTCGCCGATGTTTGCGCCTTGGGATTCATTGCCAGCCAAGCTTATTTTTTTGCCCAGGGCAAAAAAATATCCTGGCTACGCCACTGCAGGCGGACCTACAGTTCATGCGAGCTTTGGAGGTTCAGACGAACTCCAAGTGCATGCGAGCTCCAAGTGGAGGCGAAGCACTTCAGGCAAGATTGACTATGTTCAGGCGAACACAAGTCATACATCCGAGCTTTGCAGACAGGCGAACTCGCAGAAAACATATTCCTAATCTGTTTTGACCTAGGGTTTCCTTATAAATAGGGAACCCTGGCCGCCACTTGAACGTGAGTTTTTCCAGAGTGATTCCTGTAGCGAATTTTTGGAGGCGATTTTGCAGACAGCCTTGAGCGGCGATTTTTTCATAGAAAAATCCTGCGCGTTCCTGTAGCGATTTTACCGTAGCGATTTTTGACAGAGAGATCTCAGGGAGTTTGAGATCATCTTTTGCAAGAATTGTAATCTTTTTAAAAATCAAAGAAATTTTAGTGTGGCTCTCGAGGACGTAGGCACGTTTGCCGAAACTCGTTAAAATTTGGTGTTCTCTTTTTTTTAAGTTTTTTTTATTTGTTGTGATTTCTTCTTGCCTTCTTTCAACACAAGATCCGGAGGGCATGTTCTGT